GGCAAAAATCACTTGGTCGAAATGGAGATATGTTTTTTTCTTTGATACGATTAGTACCAATCGATCAATCTGATAATCCAAGTTATAGATTTACACTTACATATCATTACCCTACAATCCTTGATATTGAAGATAAAAATATTTTAGTTGACGATGATAATCCTGAATCTGTTATTAAACATACAATTTCAAGAATCAAACAATTACGTCCTCCTTGTGAATTAACTGATATGATGATTGAATTATATTCTTTGGTTCCACTTTCTGATTCAGAAAAGAAGGATCCGTCTAGAAACTATAATCCTCCACGACGTCGTCAACTTCGTGATATTAATCCATTATCTGTGCCACCCTGGAAAGATGATAGAATCATTTTATTAGGTGATGCCGTTCATGCTATGAATCCAGAATTAGGATTAGGTTTGCATTTATTGGAAATGACTTTATGAAAAATCTTATTAACCCTAATATTCTAGTACTTACTTATTTTACACACATATATATTTTTTAAAGGTGCAAATAACGCGATAACAGATGCCGATCTGTTAACCAAAGAATTAATTAATTCTGAAAATAATGATTTAATCGCGTGCATTCGACGATACAACGAACAAATGCGAGTTCGATCATCTAAAGACGTTCTATCATCACGTAACGTGGCACTAAGACAACGAGAACCAGTGGGGGATTTTGGTTTAATTCTTAGATATTCTTATTTTAGAGTTCTTACAGTTTTTCTCTATGTTTCTTCATTTATTAAAATCCATACTTAATGCTAGTTCAAGAATGTATAAATCCTATTCCAATTTATGTAATTATGTAATTTATGTCTAGAAAGTATTAATATTTTGTATAATATATTAATTTATATATTCATAATTCATACAGTATTTTAAATCAATTTTCTTTCAAACAGATAGTATAGTTTACATATTATATAAATATTTAAGGATACTACATTTACCTGAATATTAAGAGGTGAAAGGTAGTCAAAGGATGTTAAAATTGCAAGAGTATTATAGTATTATAATGTAATAATTAAAATTAGATTTGTAAATCGCGAAATATTGGTTCTTCATACACTAAGCCCTAATATTGGGAAGCAACGATCGAGGTGTGGAAAAACTTGATCCGATTTTGGTCTAATTAGAGCTCTCGATTACGTTATCTTACGGTCGCTTTTATTAGAAAAAGTTATACACGTGTATAAACTTTTAATTTACCCTTATGACTCTGTAATAAGAAAGTGCGAATAGAGCAAAGAATGCTACAACGGGTTTCTCATTCGTTATCAGTAGAGTTATCGAAATTCATATGTTACGGGAACTTGGGATTCTTAGATCGTCAAGATCCAACCCACTTCACGTTTATAGAAGCGATCTAAATCATAATCTTGCGATATTCATTATTCTTCCTAACTCTACTCTGCTTCAATGATTTGAAGAGTTTAATCTCAATTGCCACACTACTTCGGGCAATTGGACGTAAACAAACCTCAATTATATTCCACTTCGTGATAGAGTAACCTCATCTGATCCTAGTACATCTGGACAAAGTAACAAAATAGGGCCACGTGTACAAGTTAATAACGACGATCGTACCACTATGCCACTTTAGTAGTAGATCGGGTTGAGTTTATGAAACTAATGGGTTTCAGAACGTATGGACGAAAATTTTTGATGGAAATTTGGTAATTATTAACGTTAAATGTTGCAGATCATAATAAATCAGATCATTGTGAAATTTAGGGGTCTCAATTTAAACATATAAGCCCTACTAAAATCCACCTATACTCTTTTCCTAATAATTCTAACCCTCCTAACTTAACTATAAAAAAAAAGGCAATTACTATTTGTACACGAGTGTATATACACACGTATGATAAATATCTCAAACTTTTGCCTAAGAAACTACTTTTGAGGTTCTAATAAAAAAAATTCCTTGCCAAATTTTGGTATATATATGTACCTTGCTAAAATCCCAGGCCTCGCCCTAACCTTAATCTTAATCGGATTTTATTTTTATAAAAATTGGTTTAATTTCGATTACATAAATTTAAAAATTAATACCCGTGTACAAACACTACGTGTAAGATTAGATTTCCCCCCCAAAAAAACTACCAAAAAAGATCCAAAAAAATTTTAAAAATCGGACATAATTACAGTAAAATCAGTAAAAAATTAATACGACTTATAAGCGGTTTCATAAGGGTTTCATAAGCAATTTATAATAAATTCAAACATACAATTTATACTTTCGTATTTTACTTTCGGCAATTACATAATATCACTTAAATGAACTTAAATGATTGGATTAAAATTTATGAATTCTTATCATCTATTTGTTAATTATCACAAAATCAAAAAATTCGCCCATACAATTAGTTAAAAATAGCGTATTATTTCGAAAATAAATAAGAGTTTAAAAAATCAAACTTGCCATAAGTAAGAGAAAGAAATAGGAGTGTCTGGAGACTCCCCATGAAATAACTTTTTGTTTGTTTATGAATGTAATAGTAGTCAAAGTAATTTTAAGGAATTTACAAATAAGGGCCCAAAAAAAGTAAAATAATTACATATAATAGCCCAAATCAAAGTAATTACCGTATTTTCGCGTAATAACGCGCAGGTGGGCGTTATTTCGAGCACCTGCGCGTTATTTTAAACGTGTATGCGCGATAATTCGAATCATTTAGTAAATTTTTAGTATCACGAACTTTGTCTGAGCACTTGCTAAGCACTAGTTAAATAGTTAATAAGTACTTAGTAAGTACTTATTTGAGCTAAGGTATGTTGAGTTGCAATTACAAGTACTTATTATAAGTGCTTATAAAATACTTAAAAATTAAGTACTTACTTAAAAATATTAAATTTTAGTACTTATTAAGTATTAGCTTGCTGAATACAAGCTTGCATTTGGAACAACTTTGTGATGAGTAAATAAAAATTATATAGGAGGACACTTTAATTTATTTTAAGGATGGGACCTGGAGTTGAAATTTTATATTAGGTACAACCTCTAATTTGAAGAGTAGGGGTGCGTTATTTCGAGACGCGCATAAACGTTATTTTGAGTCAAATTGGCAATTTTCGAAAGTCAAAATTTCGAAATAACGCTATGCGCGTATTACGCTTAAATACGGTACAAATAAGGATACATTTTGAACAAAATTTACAATATATTGTGATACGGCGAACCATCTTTAACGATTTTGATACCATTCGAACCGTCTCATCGAGACGGATTGAATGGTACTAAAATCGCTAAATTTAATTACTGGATAACGAGTATTACGATTTAATATATTTTAGAAAAGTTCGAATATCTCATAATCTAGTAATTAAAATTCAGCGATTTTAGTACCATTTGATGTGTATCTATGAGACGGTTCGAATGGTACTAAAATTGTTAAATTTGGTCCATTAGATATAAAGATATTTGCAAAAACTTTATGGTGCAGTTTAATAAGAACAAATTTATTTTGTACTAAACTGCACCGCAAAACATTTTTTGTGAATATCTTAGCAATTTTATTACCATTCGAACCATCTCATCGAAATACATCAAATGGCACAAAAATCGCTAAATTTCAATTACTAGATTATGAGATATTTGAACTTTTCTAAAATCTATTTAAATCATAATATCTCATTATCTGTTATCTGTTATTCAGTGATTAAAATTTAGCGATTTTAGTACCATTCGATCCCTCGATGAGACGGTTCGAATGGTATCAAAATCATTAAATTTGGCTCGCCGTATCACAATATATTGTAAAATTTTGTTCAAAATTTGTAATTACTTTGATTTTGGGCCCTTATATGTAATTATTTTGTAAATTCCCCGTAATGCAAAAAATTATTACATAAATAAAATGAAATTACGAATTAGAATTTTAAAAAGTTATTTCAACTGAAATTAGAGAATAGGGTGTTTCAGAATTAACTTACTTCAAAAATAAGAGAAAGTTTAAAAAAATTCTTATTTGTATTTTTTAAATTTCAAAATCAGAAAATAAAATAGAGGTGTCGAAATTATGAAATTAGTAAATAGTTATTAAAAAAATAATCATACAAATAAGCATACACTTAAAATAAAATATACTTTTGTAAGTCACTTATTTTGAAATAAATACGTCACTTATTTCATCCGAAATCAGACGCCGAATCGAGAATCCGTGAATATACACGATTAATAAATGAATAATCTAATTTAAAAAATTAAATCGCCAATAACAATATTCGTGAATACGTAACTGTTGACTAGTTATTGACGTATTTATATAATCATATGACTTGGTGGCTTAAATTTATGATTATCTCGCGATATGTATATAAATATAAGGACAAAAAACATTGAAAATCATTGTCAAACAAACCTTTTAAATACACGTTACTCTGGTTATAATGACATTTTTGAGACATTAGTAAAAAAATCCAAAATGGCGATAAAGTGAGTTATACCGACATTTTATATTAAATTTTTTGAAAAAAAATGTTGGTATAGAAGGATTTTACTATGGTGTCGTTATATCCAGATGTAGGTATAACCAGAGTGACGTGTAATTCCGTTTCATGTCAGAAATCCAAAGTTTTAGATGAATTTTAGAATTACTCGGTGGTGGTATGACTGGTGACTGCATACATGTTTTTTTAATAATATTATATAGCGAAGCGAAATACTTAATTATAAAATGTAAACATATTGTAATAAAAGTAGGTATCATAAGAAATGGCAATGTCAATATAGTATTATAATAGTGATAGCACCCATGATTTAAAATCCCAATTATATTCGTGATGACCGGAACTCGTGAATATCCATAACAAATAATGAATATTTAACGGATCCAATACCGTAAATTCTCAAAATAACAGGCAATGGGCGTTATTTCAAAAATTGTACTCTCTAAAAATAGCATAGGTTAAAAAAAAAAAAAAAAAAAAAAAAATAGCATAGATGAATTCGAAATAACGCCCATGCGCGTCCCGAAATAACGCGCACTCCACTATACATTAACCTATATACCGGTATATATATATATAACTGGGTTCAGAAAATAAACCTATATATCTGAAATAACGCGCAGGTATTCAAAATAGCGCGAAGATGCCCGTTACGAATTTACGGTATTCGTTTTTGCAAAATACAACCTCAGAATTACTTTAAAGTTATTTTCAAACCTTTAAATATAGTATCAGAGTTTGGATTCATGTCACAAATACCATATACATTGCATGTAATGAAATTTTTAATTTCTCAGTATTATACAAGTGAAACTCGTTATAATATAGTGGTCTTCTGTTTAATTTATAAATTTTTTAAAAAATTTACTATATCGAGTGTTTATTAGTAAATTTGCTATATTGAGAGAATTTTATATATAGACTGGCTTTTTTAGCCAACTTTTACGTACTATCGAGATTTTAATTAGTCTTTACAATATTTAAAAATAAACAATTAACAAACATATTTGGTTAGTTCACTATGGAGTGTTAATTCCGCAGTACAAAAGAAGTTTTTTGATGCATTATTGTACAATCCTGTGCAGATAACTTTGGATTTTTTAGGATTATATATCTACTGCATTTGGAAAATAAACGGAGATTTAATGAGCAAAATCTCGAAAAGCTCAATGATTATGCGGACTTTATACAGTATTAAGCAGCCCATTTAAAAAAACCCGATACAAAATAAAAAAACCTAGTGATTTTGAATATTCGAATTTTTTTTTAAAAAAATGGAAACCCCTAAGAATACAATTCCAACAATT